GACTGTAGCTAGCAGAGTGCCAATCTGATATCAGCCTTTAGCTTATGGAGTATCTGATGGTGGGGATTCACTTGTTTAACAAGTGGAAAATATTGAGGGAGCCTGCAAAAGCAAAAGAAACACTAATACTACATAATTTAAACCAAATAAATCTCTTCAAATGTTATAAAACCGTCATATATTTAGTTACTAATTAATGTGGCCGTTTGACCTGATCAGGAAGATGTTGAATAATTTCACAGAACCAGCTATCTGCTACTGATATTCAATTGGAGACATCAGCTAAAATTTGAATAGGAATTTCTTCTGCTACAAGATTCTAGACTTCCCTTCTTCCTTTGCATGATTTCTTTAATTATCAGGTGATATTTTCATTTGTTTTCTCTGTCAACATCAGACCGCCTTTCCACTACTTTCTATATATTGTTCCTTTATGCCTTCTTTGGTTAGCTTAAAAACCCCCCCTCACCCCATCCCTCATTTCACAACATTCCACAAGCCCAAAAAACTCTTCCAAACGTTTAAACCTTTCTTCCACAACGTCTCTGCATTGCCTACTCAATCATGACCGGAAAAAAGAGCCAAAACAGCCCAGTGGGAAGTCCATTATCGGGTAACGTCTCCGATTGCTCATCTAAGGAGCAAGACCGCTTTCTTCCGATAGCAAATGTTAGCCGGATCATGAAGAAATCACTCCCTGCAAACGCAAAAATATCAAAAGAAGCGAAGGAAACCGTCCAAGAATGTGTATCTGAGTTCATTAGCTTCATCACGGGCGAAGCGTCGGATAAATGTCAAAGGGAAAAGAGGAAGACCATCAATGGTGATGATCTTTTGTGGGCTATGACAACATTGGGGTTTGAGAATTATGTCAGTCCATTGAAGGTTTATCTCAACAAGTATAGGGAAAATGAAGGTGACAAAAGTTCCATGGTCAGAGAAGAGGATCAGCTTCCACCTATTAGTCCGAACAAAACCAGTAGTGGCCATGGTGAAGTGTCTAGAGGTAATGATCCCATATCAGCAAGGCCTAATTTTCAGACTCTTTCCAATGCTTATTATTCACTTGATTCAAAGGGGGCCTCAAAAGGCCATGGAGATCCAGGAAGGATGATTGGCTATAGTGAGAATTTGATGGCCGGTGCCTACAATATTGGCAAAATCCATGAAATTGAGGGAAGTGGTAATAGGGTCATCACCACTAATCTTCATCATGGGATTGAGTGGTAGACTTGGGAATATATATACATATATATAAGATGCCACATATATATAATATTAATAATAATTTATGACTTTTTTGTTTGGACTTTAATTTTATTAGCTTTTTGTTACCATGACTATAATTATAATGAAGCATTTTGACTAGAATGCAATTTGGGGGACTATTCATGTTTTCGATGTATATTAGGCTAAAATATATGTATTTCTTTTTTCAAGACTGTCTTCTTGGTGATTATATCATATTACTTGTAATGGGATTTTCATTTCACGGTTATGGAGTAACTACTTTGGCAGCTAAAAAGGGATAATTCCTTGAGGGATTAATTGCAATTAGCCGCTTGAATGTGGGGCTTAATTCAAGGTTAATTTCACGGCTATATTTGCACTTTGCCTCACTTAATGTATACAATAGGCACTTTACACGTAATTAATATATATATATATATTATGCATTAGGAGTGACAGTGGGGTGCATCGTAGATCTAATTGAGGGGTAGGGAGGGGCCGCCGCACCAAGATTTGAAAATTTCTTTCATAGTCTTTGAAATTAATTAAATTTTCACTTATATCCTAATAGAAATAAGATTTTGTCCCTCTAAAATTTTGTAATAAAATTTTGTAAATCCTTCAACATCCCCTTAAAAGTTAACATTTTCCATGTAAATAGTAGTGTTTACTCCTCAAAATTTTTAAAATACATAAGGATACCTTCTTAAATGTACAGTTTTACTAATGTTGCTCTCCAGTCCCTTACCCACCTATGTTTTGAAACTCGGACCAAGTAATGACTCAATAGAACTCAGAGGTTAATGGATTCGATTGGTTAGGCTCAAGGTCGAACTGAATAACATTATAATGATGTCATAAATATATTTGTAATTATATATATGAAATAAATATATAGAATAAATATATACTCATAGTGATTTCTCGTACATATTGAGGGGTCAAATTAATGACAACCAAGTCAAACACAATTGATGGTAAAGTATACAAAGCACTCTGGCAAAAACATTTTTGAGTAACATATAATAATATTAATAAGTCTCTAATTCTATAAGATGAGAAATTTATAATGAAAATATGAATCATTGTCAAAATGAAAAAACTAAGGTTGCAATTTGCAAATGAGTAATAAAAGAATTCCATATGTGTAATTATAATTGTTCAACATATTAAGGGGTCAAAGTACATAATATGAGAAAAGTTTTCCTTCTTCTTTCTTCTTCTCCGCCCGTCCGCCATTAAGAGCTTTCCACATTCTAGATCTTTATGTCGCGCGCCACAAAGTTTCCAGTTCACGTGCTTGGTTTTTTTTTTTTTTTTTTTTTCTAATGGTTTCTTTTACACTCTCTTCTTCTTCTCTCTCTCTCTCTCTCTCTCTCTTTTTAATCTTTCTTTTACCATTCTTGATTTCTTTTTCTTTTCTTTTGATTTTAGATCTTTTCACTCTTTCTCACGTGAGACTTCTTCATCTCTTCTTCTTTTCCTTTCATACATTTTTCTCTTGATTTCAAATCTATTAAACATTTGACCAAATCTCGAGCTTTTAGCTAGAGTTGCAATGGAAATTCAGCAAAAATAGAAAATGGCAAAAAACCCAAATTTTTTGGATTTATTGGTTCACGGTCAAATCGGGTTCTGATCGAGTTCCTTGCAACTGATTTTTAATATTCATTTGGAAAAGAGAACTAGCCGATTCTCAATTAAATTGATTGAACTTACCAATCCATTTCGAATTTAAAAACACAGCTGCCCACCCCATTTAGGGTAGGGGAGAGAGATGGCCCACCTGCTTCGTTGGTTACCTACAGAACATGTACTACGATTATCGGATGCTTGTACGTATTGTCATTTCTAATTGTAGAGGACATAGTATAAATGAGCTCCAAATTCAAAGTTACTAAATTAATTATGCAACCTTGTTTCCCCAAAAAAAAAAAAAAAAAAAAAATCTAATGCATGCTTTCCTTAGTCTAAGTATTCCACATTTGAGATAATGGCCTGTATTACACTTCTTTGCCACTCGAAATCAAGGAAGCCAGAGGCTAGAAACCTCCATAATTTAGCAGTGGAAAAAGTGGAGAAAGCTAATGTTATATATCACCCATGTCTCCCATGAGCCAGCTTTTGGTGATGCCCCAGTGATTTAGACTAAAAGAGAAGTTTAATCATACTCAGGATGCATCTTCCATCACGAAAAACTTGTGGTCCTTGAAAAGTCATTACAACTAATCTCAATAGGAAAAGATGCACTCTTGTTGTCATATTGACAAGGTTCATTTATTTAAGGAGGAAAAACATGTAAATCACTCGTGTAGTTATATGATAAGATTTTGTACACAATTCATTGAATATATAAACTTTTTTTTTTTTTGAAAAAAAAAACAACTTTATCAATGCAATTGTTAAAAATCGTCCAGCACTATTTGCTTAACAAAATCCAAAAAAGAGTTTCAAAGAAGCTCAACTTGATTAGCGACTCTAGAATATTGGATTAAAGTGTGTGCGCTCTCTCAATGAGTGTGTTTGGATCCAGATGATTTGAGATAAAATAATTTGTTTTACAAATTTTAATTATTTTTTTTATCTTACATACATCACATCACAAAAAGTGTTACAATAATTATTTCAAATAATTCATCCAAACAAACTCCTGTCCAAATAAACTGAGTGTATAAGTTACATCCATCTCAATTACAAACCCTATGTCTGAGAAAATTTCCTCAGAGCTATTGATCAAGCGTAACAACTGAGCTAGCATCTCCCTCCAAGATAAAACTAGGACATGAAGTCTTGTGAGTAATTTGTGTAGATCAATTTCATTCCATTATAAATGAAATAAGTGATGAAAAAAACGAAGAAAGGAAAGAGAAACAAAAACCAAAAAATACAAGTCCATCCAATATGGCATCACAAAGAGGGAATTTCCAAGAGTCAAAATTAAAAATGACCCCACCAACACAACACACATATTCATAAGCATATCCAAAACCATTATTATGTCCCCGAAAAAAAAGGTGGAAAATCAGCAACCCGTTGACCAAGTTACCGGTGTCCAATTCCCCCAAATTTGTTGAAACACTTAGGCCTGTCAACGGGTCGGGTCTAGATCCGGATCCGTGAAATTAATGCGGGTATGGATAGGGATTTAATTCCGTTTTCCGGATCCGGATCCGGATCCGTTTTGTCAAACAAAAAAACGGGTCGGATACGGAATATAGTATTCCGGTCCGTATTAGACCCGGATCCGGATATAAATGAATTAATAATTTAAAAAATATATATTTATCAATATAATTTGATTAGAATGATGTATTTTAATAAAGTTAATTTGATTTCTTTTCTTATTTGATTTTTTCTTTGCATTAGTTAGAAATTAGTTTACAAATATATTTTTTTCTCATTTTTATTAGAAATTATAAAATTTGATAAATTTGTTCGGATAGACCCGGATCCGGATCCGGGACCGCCGGATCCGGATCCGAAACGTAGAATAAAGGACCCGTCGGGTAAACGGGTCGGGTCCGGATCCGGCATAGTAATTCGGGTCCGGGTCCGAAATAATGAATTCCGACCCGGATCCGGCCCGTTGACAGCCCTAGAAACACTGTTCTCCGTTCCATTCGCCGTCATCCAGAACCCAAAAATAAAAAAATCCGCCACGTCATCCTTCAAGCATTTAACCGACACGTGCCAGTTAGGGTTTCTTCTTTTAGTCCCCGACCCAACATATCGTTTTGACTCTCCGGACTTCTTGTAGTTCGTTCTAGCAGTAGTCTTCTACCAAAAGAAGAAGGGGGAAAAAGGAAAAAAAACCTCAAACACAAATAATTACAAATAATTAAACCAAAAAATCAAATGTGGAAAAGTCGTTTTGTTTCCCACTTTTTTCTCTCTTTCTCTGCCACTGCATCAATGGAGTCTTCGTAAAAACCCTAGTAATTTCATTTACTATTCTTCTTCTTCTTCTTCCGCCGCCTCTACTATTTGGAGGAATTTGACCGTAAGAGGCTTTGGAGCTTATTTATTTGTGTCTTCTTCTGCTGTAAGTAATTCAAAATAACGTTTTATCCGTGAGGATTATTGCTGTTTTTTACGCATATTCAGGTGTTTGTTTTGCCTTTGCTAATGACTTGTATTGTTTAGGATAGAAAGTTTGATGTTTGTTGATTTATAGGCGGGGTGGAGTTAGTATTTGCTTAATTGATCAGGTGAACTGGGGGGTTTAGGAATTTTGCTGAGTTAATGATTGGATTATGGTTGATTTTTCGATTGAGTTGATTAGGCATTAGAATATGCTTGTTTTAAGTGGAAGATAGTGAGATATTTGTTGTATGTTTTGGATTTCTTTTTTCAGGTGTAGGTGGGTAAGTTGTTCCTATGGTTGTGGAACGTGTTGGATTGTATAGATGTTTTGGTGAATTTAAGGTAAGGTAGGATAGGTTGCTTTTGGAATTCTGTTGTGGTGGTGTTTTGTTTTGGCGGGAATGGCTGAGGACGGCCTACGAATTGGTGGGCTATCTCCTGGGTTGGCTGTAGTGTTAAACGGTGAAGATAGGAGAGAGGGCTCTCAAAGAAGTCGTCTTGTTTCGTACTGTGATGATTTTGGTGATCAGTCTGTGGAAAGGACTCTTGAACACATATTTGATCTTCCTTATAAGACCATTAATCAGCTGACATGTCCTGTAAATACTGGAGTAGTTCGTTCTATTATAAAGAATCACTTCAGGAAGTACCATGTAGATTTGGGGAGTGGTCGTGATGTAAATGGGGATGGGGTGTGTACCACTGCTGATGGTTGTGGTTCACAAGTTGTTGGGATTGAAGAGTCGAGCATTTGTGGCGATATTCGAATTACTAAGCCATCTTTGCTTTTGGAGAGTCATGCCTTGTTCAGCAGCGTGAGGGCGAATGCCTGTGTGTGGAAGGGGAGATGGATGTATGAAGTAACACTTGAATCTTCTGGTGTACAGCAGCTTGGTTGGGCTACTCTTTCCTGTCCTTTTTCTGATCATAAAGGTGTAGGGGATGCTGATGATTCCTATGCATATGATGGGAAAAGGGTCTGTAAATGGAACAAGGGAGCTGAGGCTTATGGCCAGTCTTGGGTTGTTGGTGATGTAATTGGGTGTTGCATAGATTCGGATCATGACGAGATTTCATTTTACAGAAATGGTGTCTCACTTGGGGTTGCATTCAGAGGGATTCGTAAGATGGTTCCTGGATTGGGATATCATCCTGCAGTTTCATTGTCTCAAGGCGAATGTTGCGAGTTGAACTTTGGGGCATACCCTTTTAAATATCCTGTTGACGGTTTTCTTCCTATTCAGTCTCCCCCCAAAGTCAACTCCTTTGCTGTTCATTTGCTTTGTTGCTTCTCCAGGCTGTTAGAATTGCAGCATGAAGCGAGGGTGGGATTTGGGTCAGTTGAGAAATTTAGAAGATTGAAAAGATTTGCGTCATTCAAGGAACTTAATCACCCTGTCTCTCAAGGAGTATCTGAGGAATTATTTTCTTCTCTTGATATTGAAACTGGAAGTGCAGCATACATTGCAAGGGGTCCACTTTTGTCGTTCTTTTTGGAAGCCTTTAAAGTGCATCCACCACATGACTATACAAATTTGGACAGAATAATTGATTGCTTCCTAGAGATTCAGGACTCACGAATACTTTTTGAGCATCTTATATTAGCCCTTTCATCTGCATGCAAAACTGCTGTGTGGGTCCTTTCTGACTTTCCCTATTCAGGATCATATATCTATCTCGCTTTGGCATGTCATTTATTAAGGAGAGAGGAACTGATGATTCTCTGGTGGAAGTCTGCAGATTTTGAATATATTTTTGAAGGATTCCTATCACGAAAGAGTCCTAACAAGCAGGATCTTCAATCTTTGATGCCTTCTGTCTGGTGGCCAGGTTCATGTGAAGACCTGTCCAGCGACAGTAGCATGGTTCTGACGACTACAGCTTTATCCGAAGCCATCAATATGGTATGCCTTTGAGTGATTGCTTCTGATTACTTTTTTCCAACCTCTTGCTTTTGGAGAAATAATCACCTCGTTCTGCACATGCTCCTCTATTCTCACTGAAATTTAGAAAATCAATTACTGATTTTTTGGGAAGTTGAGACTTTAGAATGAACAGAGCTTTCTCCACTGATTAATTTAGAGAAGTAAAAAACTCTTTAGAAGAGCGATTACACATGTAAAAACTACTCATGGGTCATTTCTTGAAAATGAAGAACTTAAGTGTATCGGTAAGTTGCTTTGAAAAGGTAAAACAGTTGATTAGACAGAAAATGCACACTCTTCGATGTTTTTCTTGAAGTTTTCCGTTTCTGACAGGATTGCTTCATATGTTGATAGTATTTGGGTTCGGTATTGTATAAAAGGCGACACATAGGTTGATTGCATAATGGTACCTTAAATCATTAATAAAACTATAATATAATGGTGAAATGGATTTTTGTGGAGACACTAAAGGAGCAGTCAGTGATCTGTTCTCTATATTGTCCGTGCCCTTTCAATCTTCCTATTTTTTCCAAATGTACAAATACAATATTGTCCTTAGGTTCTTAGTATTTGTTGTAGTACTAGTTAAAAATTAGGCATTGCATTTTTCTTGAACGATCCTGAAATCTAGTTTTTAAAGGGGGGGACTAATATTGAGAATAGAACGAGCATTTATAGTGGAAATGTGGCTGAAGCTGAGATTCCTGGATTGATGTTTGCCGCGTTTAAGTTCCATCTTTTGCAACTATTGTTCGAAAGATCAATGGAATTCTTCCAATTCTGTAAAAAAATATCTCATGGTCAAGGGACTTTATTTTTTGGAGGACCTGCAACTAAAAAGAAGGGGAAAAAATACTGGGGAAATTAGGAATCTTAATTTTTAAACTGCATAGCTGGAATGCATTTATCCTTCAGCTTTGATTCTCCTGTGTTTGTCCTTGTAACTTACATTTCTTTGAGACTTAATCGAATGGCCTGGAATACCTGATTTTGATTGAACTCTTTAGTGCATGGACTCTCTCTCTCTCTCCCTCTCTCGATATTCCCTGTCCACTATTATTCTGTAAATCTGGGTAGCTGCCAAGTATTTGGGAGAAATATTGCTTATCATAACAAGCAACTGTTGCTTTTTTAAAGTACCTTATACAATGCAATTGTTCAGTTCACTTTTGCTTTTGGACTTTTTTATTTTACAAAGTATGGCTTATCTTGATTTCCACATCCCAAAATAAATTGGGTTTGATTTGGGTGAAGCAAAATTTTGCATTATAGTTAAGCCGTTAGAAGACTAAATAATGTGTTTTTACAGGTTGAAGAGAAACATAGGGACCTGTGTTGCTTGGTAATGCAATTTATACCACCTGGAGATCCACCACAGCTTCCAGGCTCAGTGTTTAAGACATTTTTGCAAAACCTTTTGCTCAAAAACAGGGGTGCAGACCGTAACTTACCGCCTCCTGGGGTTTCAAGCAACTGTGTCCTTGTTTCATTGTATACAGTCATACTTCATCTTTTATCAGAAGCATCCACATTGAGGGGCATTTGCGGTTGGATGAAGAGCTGTGGAGCTAATTCTGAACTTGATGTGGGTTTTCTTCACAGGGGTGGCCAACAAAGTTTTTCTGTTGGCTTACTTTTGAAGAATGATCCTCATCGAGTTGACTTTTCTAGACTTGGAGGATCATATGGCCATTTGGCTAAATCTCATCCTACAAATGATGAGCAAGAAGAAGAAGTTATCAGGTGGGAAGAAGGTTGTATGGATGATGAAGACTCTAGAGTAACACATTTTGGTAGGCTGCAGCCGTGCTGCTGTTCGAGTTATGACAGTGACTTTGCAAAGATCTCAAAGCATCCTATTAGGTATATGGCCAAAAGTGCTCGCGGTCACTGCAGTTCTATTCAAGAAAGATCTGCTCATGTTGCTGCAGAATGCAGTGCTGAGAATTTGAATGATGAGATAGAAGATAAACCTGGTACAAGTGACCAATCTGAATCTCAGTTTGATTTTCGGCCTATGCAGCAGATGAGGATTATACCCCCTAGGGATATCAATTTGTCTCCAGCTACATTGAAAGAAGAAGAGCTCTTGGATGCTATGCTGTTGCTATATCATTTGGGAGTGGCACCGAATTTTAAGCAGGTGACTGAGGATTTTTTTAATAAGGTCATAATACCCCAATAAGAATTGAATTATTCTTCTTCAGGCAAGAAAATAAACTAAAGTAGAGTAAATGGAAAATAGAAAATAGATGTACAAAGCAAACTTCATCTGCCACTATGTAACAGAACAGAGCTCCTATGTATGCATGATTGGAAGTGATGTTTTTGTAGCTCCATCTTATTGACATATAAATAAGGAATGGAATGATGTTTTAGATTTGGTTGTTGATGAAATAAGAATGCATACAATTAAAGTGGAATTGATGCAGATGAGGTCGAAGTTTTTGTAAACAGTCGTAACATATGTTTTTTAATGGTATGATGCTTTTTGCAATGTAATGAGCAAATTAATGATAGGGTCTGGTTTTTGCAGTACATGGCCTCCTTAACGTGGTATTCTTTCTTTAGTTACCTTCATTTTCTGGTGATTTTCCCCTTCCTTTGTGGTTTTTGTTTGTGAAACATGAATGCCCGTGCTGGGAATTACGGTTGGTCACTAGATCTTTTGGATTTATACTTTTACGCCATAATGATTTAGGAACTTTTGATGTAAATATCTAAACTGATTATTCTTGCTATAGGCATCTTCTTACATTGCTCGACAGTCACAATCGATAGCTCTCCTTGAAGAGACTGATAAACAAATTAGAGAAAAAGCTAATGGAGAACAAGCAAAGCGTTTAAAGGAAGCTCGAAGTGTATATAGAGAAGAAGTTATGGATTGTGTCAGACATTGTGCCTGGTATAATGGTCTCTTCTAGAATGTGGTGATTTGTGAAATTGGAAGTGTATTCGTTGTTGACTGCATGCAAACATCAGCTTATAAACTCATTTTATTTTCATCCGCCATCAATATTTGCTGAAAACCCATGGATCATTTTTTGTGCTTTAAAAAGTATGCATTGGTTTTCATAAATGTAATATATTTATAATTATGTTGATTTAGTTATGATAGGAAGGTTCCTTGCTTGAAGTGGTTAATTTCATTTGGTTGTTGATTGTGCCGTCCGTTCTTCATCAACATCTATGATCTCCTGGTTTCTTTCAAGTCGTAGTGCAGAGTGCACTTTGATCAACAAAATAAGCCATTCAGAGCAGTAGAAACATCAACTCACTTAAGATTAGTGTTTGATGATCTTAGGACCTTACCTTGCTATTCACAGTCTGGGAGTTAACATTGTAGATTCTGAGACTGACATTAAGCTTTACCAAGAGAAGGTATTGCATTCTGCATTGTCATGGCTACTCTTCTGTAATTTTGATGGTGTGATTAGGATGTTTTAGTGGTTCTCAGATTTTCATATCAATCACTTCTCTATATAAACTGAGGTGATATGCATAATGCGATGGTTAGAACTTATGAGTTATGCCTATGCATGTTTAAGATTTTTGTTGTTTCATGATAATAGAGTGTCTCTGTCCATGTAAAACATATTGGGTGATTGGAGTGGTTGAACGCTACAGCAAGGTAAAAGCATTTGAATGGCTGGTTTCATTAAAATAACATGTTGCAATTAGGTTTCTTGTGTTGGATTATCATGTCGCTCCTTTCTCTTCTTCGTATGTCCTCTGCACTGATTATGGGAACGTGTCATATACATCATTTGCCTTTGATTCTTTTGTTGCTTTATGAAAAATAAGCTAAAAACAAAAGTCAAGGACAAATGAGAACATCATAAGAGCTTTTAGTTTAACAAAAGCTAAAATGAGCATATCTTTGAAAATCGATAGCAGGCTTTGAAGCTTTTGATTTTGAAAATGATATTTTTTCATTGGGTTTGCTTGTAGCTTGCCAGCATTGGTCAAGTTCTTTTTAAAATTGTCCCTTCACTAGTACCGTCATAATTTCAGTATATTCCTTCAGGTTTTGCAAGAAGGTTATCCCGTTCAAAATAATAGGTCAATAAGAACAAATAGCAGGTTTTCTTTTTTTTTTTTGGGGGGGGGGTGTTGTGTGTGGGGTTGCTAGAAGAATTTGTAGCCAACTCCAAGATAAAAGAGTTATCATGGTGAGCATTTTGCTAATAATAATGCTTTTACAACTTTGGTCCTCCTTCAGTTAAACAGGAAAACTTGTTCCTCTTGCATTAAATGCAAGAACACAAGTTCACTGAAACGATGTTAGTACTTTTGTTTGCCTTCATTTTAAGTAGTTTTCACGGGGAAGGTTTAGATGTCACTGTGTTTACTGGTATTATTTCTTGTCTGGATGAATCGTTTCATTTTTTGGATTATTGCTAATGTCTGCCTTGAAGTAACTTTTTGCTGATGTTAAAGTGGGTCTAATTTTAGTATGCCAGGATGGCTCTATCATAGAATTTTTGGCACAGCGGGGCAATAAAATGAATAATGGTTTAATTTAACACTTTTACAGTATGACAAACTGAGATTTACTGACTGTTGTAAATTTTGCTTCTAAATTCAGATTTCTTTGGCAATAGGAAACATATTAACTGCAAGGCTAAGAGTTCCAAACAGATCTCAATACTTACTTTAAAACCCCTCAATAATCTGAGCTGTCTGGCAAAACATCTGATAAGACCTATCATCTTTTTATTAAATCCTGATTAATATCAATGATATGTAATGATTATTTGTTTCCAAATGTGGGACAGCTAAGCTGTAAATGGTTTTATTTCAAATTTCTTAGGCATGAAAACTTCCACTTTATGCTTGGTTGGATTAAAAAAAATAAATTATGTTGGGTTTTTCCATACATCATGATTGGTGATTTTCAAGTGTTCATTGTGCTGAGGTTTCACAATTCTTAATTTTTTACATGCATTTATTACTTTTGCTTCCAAGAGAGAAGCCGTATAGTTGTGTAGGACTAACATTCATGTATGAATGTGTGTGCGTGTGTATTTGTTTGTAATGAGAATAATTCTTCTCACAGTTTTTTGCTGAACTTTGTTTTATAGGTATCGCATATCTCTTTTTTCTCGATGGAAGCAAAGGGGAATGTATGCGGCATGCATGTGGATCGTTCAATTGCTGCTTATTCTTAGCAAATGGGACTCTATTTTTATTTATGTTCCTGAATATTATTTGGAAACTCTGGTATTTAATCTCTTCTTCTCCTCCCTGCCTAATGGCAATCTGACTTTGCTTGTTTTATAGCTCCAAAGTAATTGTGTAATTTTCATGTGCAACAACCCCCAGCACACGAAAAAAAACCCAGTTCAACTCTAATATTGTGTGACAGTGGTTGTTTTGAGTATAGATGTAATTTACTCCTACAGATATTGCTTTTTCAGCTTTTTTGTTTTTGACGTGATGTTCTATAAACAGTTTGACAAAATGGGGCTGATGCTCCTCATGCATGGCTCTCTACGTTTAGGTTATGAAAAGTTTAAAACAATTGGCAAAGAGAACCTGACTGTTGCTGTACATTCATGGGAACTTCTTTCGCTTGCCTCTTATAAGATAGTAACTTTCTGCTATTCTTGATTTGCCTGGCAACAAAGAATGTTTACGTTGTTATTATAAGATGTCCTGCATTTTACTTCTTTAGCCTTTTGAATTGCTCTGTAATTGTACTTCTGTCCCATTGTGTTACAATTCCATCTGAATTTCGCTCCTTGAATTACCTTTTCCCTTATGTTTGGCACTTTATGGCTCTCTCTCTCTCTCTCTACATATATATATATATATATATATATCAACATAAAGAAACAAGAAGAGGAGTATAAGGATTTGATGTCTATAACTGACATGGCAAATCAATGAATGGATAGATAAAATTTAATATGGCAAAGAGAAAAAGGAAAATCTTCCGGTAATTCTTCCTATATTTCTTTTCAAATATCCATGGGATTCTCAAAAATTGGCTTTAGATAAATGGCACAATCTTTTTTTAGAATGGTAGAGTGGGTAGAGTTTTTATTGTCCTGTACCTAAAACCATTGGATTCTTTTCTTTTGGTTGTAAGTTGCCCTTTTAGGTGAGCTATAACCAATGAACAACGGGGATCAAACTTAGGTGGTGGTGTGGTTGAAAATGGAAATTGAACCTCAGGTTGGTTTGAGTAGCTTTTAATCATATGATGAAAATAAAACCATTTGTGTCTACTCTGTAGGCTTGGGCCCTATGGCTGTGAATATGTTGTATATCAATGCTAGTTTTACATGGATCTTAGTTCATTTGTTTGTCTTTCTTTTGCTGTTTAGGTGTAGAACTGACATTGAATTGTGTTTATTGGCATTTTCTGCGTCTTCTTATATGTTATACTTATGCACATGGCAGGTTGACTCTTTCCATGTGCTGCGTAAGAGTGATCCTCCTTTTGTCCATCCTGCAATATTCATGAAGCAAGGACTCGCTTCTTTTGTACGTCTGAAGCCTCTCCCCCCTCCCCCTACACCTTTTCTATCTAATTAATATATATTATACCATGCATATGTGCCTTGTTTTTATTCCCTTCAAACTTTCAAAAGTTGACTGTGATCTGATGTATCACTATTTTTTCTGGCAGATATAGTTTGTTGAAGATTTATGTCTCTTTAAGCATGTCTAGCTAGTATTAATCCAAGATCTGTTTGAATGTGGTATTTCTAGCTAGTATCAAGTGAAAACATTACCCTTGTGCCCCTTGCCATCCATACCCACATGCCCTTCTCCGATGTCCTGCTGGGAGAGGATTGTCTCAATATGTGTAACCTTCCAAAATGATTGGCTTCTCATTTTGATCATTGAGTTTTACCGTAGAAAAACTTAAGCATTTTGCCGAGAAAATTATATATTGGATTAACTTTGTAGTTTCCTTGCTTCATTGGTTAGTGTTGCATATTTTGCCTTGCTTTTTAGGATCAATTGCATGTATATCTAGGTCTATTATTTAGTTGCTTTGGGCATTTTGGGTTCAGGTTACTTTCGCTGTCACCCACTTTAATGATCCAAGGATATCGAGTGCCGAGCTGAAAGATCTTCTTCTGCAGTCTATATCCGTCTTGGTACAGTACAAAGAATTTTTAGCAGTTTTTGAGCATAATGAAGCAGCAATACAGAGAATGCCCAAAGCACTATTATCAGCTTTTGATAATAGGTCCTGGGTCCCTGTAACAAATATTCTTGTGCGGCTTTGCAAAGGATCCAGTTTTGGTTCTTCCAAGCGTGGTGAGTCATCATCATCAGTTGTTTTCCAGGTAAGACCCGTCATGCTTTCGTCCTTTTGATAATATTTTGATCATTAACTCTTTTATTTTACATCCATTAACAAATATAGTTGAAGTGTTCTTTTACTTTTTACAGAAATTGCTGCGAGATGCTTGTGTTCAGGATGAAGAACTTTTTTCAGCTTTTCTCAATCGTCTGTTTAACACCCTGAGCTGGTCAATGACTGAATTCTCTGTTTCAATTCGAGAAATGCAGGAGAACTATCAGGTAGTTGGCTTGTGAGGCTGTACATATTCATTTTATCACCCCTACTGTGGTTGATTTTCATGTTCTTCCCATGTCAGTAGTTTTTTCTAATTGATTTAAATGGATAATGAAATTATCTCCTGTTATTGACTTCATTTATGCATAGACTGCATGTGAGTTGGATACGAGATAGAGGTAAATACATTCTTCAATAGGCCAGGCCATATCTACTGCCAGTGAAGTTTTTAGGGAAATAACTGAATATTTGGATCAAGTTATTGTCTATTTTTTCCTCCATCTGTTTCCTTGACATTCTTGTGGCATCCTTTTTAGGTGGTGGAGTTTCAGCAGAGGAAATGTAGTGTTATATTTGATCTCTCTTGTAACCTTGCAAGGGTGTTAGAGTTCTGTACTCGTGAGATACCCCAAGCATTTCTTTCGGGGGCAGATACAAATTTGAGAAGGCTGACTGAATTAATTGTGTTTATACTTAACCAATTGACTTCGTCAGTTGATCCAGAATTTCTAGACCTGTAAGTTTGTGGATGTTCTTGTTACATTTAACATGTTGTCACTTATGACGAATCTCGACTTCTGTGGTGTGCTATCCTAATCTTTCTTGCTGCTCTTCATTCATGTACTGTTTTCTTGGATAGATGGATGATAACATTAGTTAACATATTTGTGGTGGTAGAAGTGCTGTTATAGTTTCCTAAATTTTTTGTGTACTGCATTTTGGTTTTGTTAGGTTTAGCAACGAGGCTTTGTAATTTCTTGTGGTCTAGAAATTTACTAATTCATCTCAATCTAAAGCCTTAGTACCTGCAAAGCAAACAATGGAAGAGCAAGAATTTATTTAGATTGTATATACTCATAAGGCTAACTAAAGATAGGGAAAAATCCAGAAGCTTAGTTGATGTTTCCCTGAAATTTTGGTTTCCATGTTGACTTGATATCTAGGAGAATGCTTATAAGTATAAACCACAGAAGTTGGTTATCGACAAATTTCAATTGATGTGCATGCAGTGTTGTATATAATTCCTCCACATGTGATACTGCTTAATCATATTGATCAGTTCATTTTATCCTTCTTGCATATGAAAGTGGACTATGCTTTAAAAAAAAAATTAATGAACTACAGGAGTTTGGTTTATCCCTCCAAGTTTGATGCAGTTATAAAAGTTTCAAGTTCAGATGACTGAATTTAGTGGTATTGCAAGATTTGCCCTTGTATGTATCTCAATGTTGGTTTTTCACAAAACAAGTTTGTTGTGAACTTCTAGGAGGAGAATAAGTTGGTTGCAAGATTGGAACTTATGGGAATAAGATATTTCAGAACTTATTCTTCAGATTTCTTTATGCTATTCTTGCAGGTCCATTAGGCGTCCTGGTCAGTCTCCAGAGAAGGTTAATGGTGGCATGATCTTAGGACCGCTGGCTGGTATCATTTTGAATTTGTTGGATGCTAGACAAGAGGCAGACTGCGGAGATCATAATGACATTGTCAATATATTTGCTAGCATGGACTGTGCTGAGACTGTCCTTCGTGGATTCTACCTCTTAGAATACAATTGGGTTAGTAATTGATTCTGTTCTCTGCTTAGATCCGTTTGGAGTATTACATAATACATTAATAGCTTGTCTTTTTTTTTTTTTTCAATTTATTTTGCTTTTCAAGTTGGTAGAATTATGCCCATGGGCATATATGGTTTTTTTTTTAAAAAAAAAAATCAGGGGCAATGGAGTTCTTGGGGGCCCAGATTGTATGTATGGTTTGTTTAGGGCGATAGCAACTCTTTTCTTGGTGGTATAATAATTCAATGTTCAACTTGTGGTTTTCGGAAGATTGTATATCCATTCTTTCCACTTTATCTTTTTGCTAAATCTTGTTCATGAACTTGTAGGCTGGTTTGGTTAAGGGTGTTGATGATATCTCAAAGCTCAAGCAGCTAGAGACCTTATCAAGCCTGCTGATATGCCAGAAGGAGTCTCAAGAATTTGAGGGGATGGTTTGTGCCGGAGAAAGTAATTCTGATGACAACATATGCTGCATCTGTTATGCATGTGAAGCAAATGCTCAGTTCGTACCTTGTTCTCATTCTTCTTGCTTTGGATGCATAACGAGGCACCTCCTTAACTGCCAGAGATGCTTCTTTTGTAATGCAACTGTCACAGAAGTTGTGAGAACTGAAGCAGAAGCAGCAAATACGGCATGAGGTCTTCCTCTCAACACTCTCTTTTTTGTTTTTTCTCATTAGTGGTAGTTTCTTGTTGTTTCTTTTCTTTGGTTTCGGATTGGGGCTCTTCCGTGAAGCTTCTGACTGTATCTAAGAGGAAAATGGTATACCTTATAGGTCAAACATACTACATTTTTAGCTTCATCATCGCAAGGCAGAATTTTATCAGTGTATATAGATAGATGGATAGGGTTTGGAAGGAGATTTAAAAAAAAAAAAAAAAAACAAATCACAGGGGATGGGAAAATTGGGGTAGGGCTGAAGTTTTGTTAGCAGAATTTGAGGGCATTACATTGTAAATACACGAGTTTCAATTGAAATGAAATCTTTCCAGCCCTCTGTGTTTGCCTGCTCTCCTCTGTTCCTGTTCAAGAACACAAGTTTGTGTGTGTTTGCATGCTTTCCTGTGTGTGTGTGCGTTCCTGCTGGGCCTAAAGCAAAGATAGGACATAGTGCAATATGCTGAATATGAGGATTGATATGTAGATTACAAAGTTTCTGTATTGCAATTTTCACCAAAATTTTTTCTAATTATTTTTTTGATCTCACAGACATCGAATTGCTATAGTACATTTGTCTAAAAAACTTTTAAAAATAGGAATTTAAACAGGTTTTTACTATTTATTTCTTGAAATAAAGAAGTTTTAATTTTTTTTACCAGTATTGTAAATCATTCTAAATAGTAGGGCTGACAGCGGTTCGATGGCAATAGAAGAGGTTTTGGTCTGAAAAATTTCGCCTTCATTCAAGTTTGAAGTTACAGTTGGCTCTGCATTCAATTTTGAGAAACTCTTTCAACAATTTGTAATTTGTTAAAGACAATTTTTGAAACAGTAATGTGTTAAAACCTAGCACTCAATTGTCAAAAGTACGTGTCAACTTAAATTATAAAATCATCCTACGTGAGATTAATAGAACTTGTTTGAAGTTTGCTCTAATTCGAGCTTGTTTAGCTCTTGAAAGTCGAGCTCAATTTTATTTTGCCTTGTTCAAACTCGACATCGTGCAAATTGAATCCAATCCAAGTTTAACTCGAGCTTAATTAAGCCTAATTGAGTTTAAGAAATATAAATTTCTATTTCATATTATTTTAAACAAGGGACAAAATAGACATTTCAACAGTTCCCTTAGTACCCGAACAAATCATGGTCTGCAAAAGCCAATAACGACGATGCTTCTCGACTTCACGTGCGGGCAAGCCAACTTAAATGACAAAATTACCCTCAGCCTTGATTCTTACGGTTACGGCTGGCTCTTGCAAAATCCTTCAAAAAACTCATCGGTGCCAGTGTGCCACTTCGAAGATGTCGAAGAGAGAGAGCAATTCCTTCAGACTTCAGAGGAGTGAAGCGCTTTTTCTCTCACACACAACACACAGTTGGCAGTACTTCACGCTTATTAATTATTTGTTTGTTACTGTATAGCTACCGTGTGACTGTGTGAGAGAGGGGTGGTGGAAGGAAAATGTTGAGTACACTGAAAATTCAGCCGAAAACGACGCCGCCTCGAGTTTATCCCAGGTGTAATGCCGGAGGATTCAGTAACCATCGCCGTTTTAATTTACCGTTGAATAGAAACCGGCGGTTTGTGTCCGTGTCTTTGGAGCAAGCTGAGTCGTCGGATTCATCCTCTCATCTGACCTCCACCGTCGGATCATCATCTTCTTTATCTCCCGTTCAATGGACCCTGCCCAGTCGCCACCTTAGCATTCTCAATTACACCGCTTGCGCGGTACGGTTTCACTCTCTCTAATTTATTGTTCTTATTTCAATTCTTCATATTTTGATCTTTACCGCTTTCATTTTGGTTTGTTTTAAGGGAATTAATGAAATCAATTGATTAAATTCCATGATTTTGTGGGAGTTATTAGAACCCTGAATTGGGTTTAAGTGTTTTAGATGATTGTGTTAATGTAGATTGAAAATTTATATTACTGAATTCACCCGCCGACGCGGGGCTCCCAAAAAAAAAAAAGAGTGAAATAAAATGGAAGTTCATCTGAATGGGGTTTGATGTTTTTAATTGAAGTGATTTACCTAATAAATTAACAGTTTTTGTGTGTGTGTGTAGTGTGTGCGAGTGTTCCCTCTACATTTTGATTGAAATGAAGCACAGAAAAAGAAAAGCCCATTTATGGCGCATAATAACTTCCCAAAATTCTGCGCAAAGTTGGAGTTATGTAATAAAGCTAATGAGTAACATGAGGAAAGAGTGGGAAAGATTTACAAATTTTCAGGTTTGCTTAATATGGGATTCATCGATTTTTTTGCAGGTAGCAATATCAGCAGCCTGGCTTTTCTGCTGGGCGATTCCAACAATGCTGGTTAGTAATGGGATTTGTTTTTTAGTTGCAAGCATGTTCTGTTCATTGGGTGTTTTGTCAACATTTTGGTTGAAATTCATGCATTCACTATAAAAGGGAATTTAAGTTTGATGGCCCTCAAATTTCTTTAAGCAAATTGGAGATTGAATTTTAATATATTAATCATGGTTTAGGTGTAATTGATTGATAATCTTGGATCAGAGAGCTGTGATTTGTTAGATGCATCATTGCTACAGTCTTGTACTACCAAAGAATTGACAAACTGGATTCAACGTGACAAGTCATTGAATCCCAAGGCCCATTGTCATGTTAAGCAATTTCGTTTTTCCAAATAAAGTCAATGCAATTATGATGTAAAATGTGTTTGAATTTTAGCTTTTTAGAGTTCGTACTGGCAAATAGAACTAGCTTCTGTCAGGAAAATAATAATTGACTATTGTGATATTCTTGAAGGCTTTTAAGAGAGCAGCTGAGTCTTTGGAGAAGTTAATGGACGTCACAAGAGAGGAGCTTCCTGATACAATGGCTGCAGTTAGATTATCTGGGATGGAGATAAGTGACCTAACCATGGAGCTTAGTGACATTGGGTGAGGATAATATGGTGAAGCTTGAATTTTGCTTGATAAGTTGTATCATTATTTTCAGATTTTATATTTGACTTGTCTCGATGATTTTGCAGTCAAGAAATTACACAAGGTGTCAAAAGTTCTACTCGAGCTGTTCGGGTGGCGGGGGAAAGATTGAGGCGGTTGACTAATATGTCTCCTTCAGGTTATTAATTTGAGAATTGGCGGTGTCTTACTGGTTGTCTTTAATAGTAATTTGGGGAGATAAATTTCACTTCATCTTTACTTGTTTAGTGCCCGTGCAGGTGGTAGCTCCGATGGAGGCGAAGGATAAAGTACCAGTTCTAGCTAGAACAGCAAGAGGCATAAGGATTGGGATTGTAAAGGGTCGTGGATTTTTTCAAATGATTTTCACCCTCACTCATTTTTATAGGATTGTCTTGAACTTCGTCAAAGGTCGAGCTAAGGCATGAATTGAGATCTTGGAAGTCACATGTTACTGGGAGAATCATTTAGTTCTGTATATATCTTTTTGTAGTAATGTGTGGTTGCTAAGTTGCTATTCAATTACCGCTGATTTTATGGATTGTTGATCTTATTTTTTCGAGTAGAAACAATATGAATATTTGGAACCTCGTGCGTTTCTTCTACAATTTGCTCAACTAGCGGAGACGTTTTTCATACTTAAAAATGTCGATAGGAGCTTCGATGATATGTTTGCTTCAGGGACAGAAAATTTCAGATCTTATGACGGAATATACCAGATATAGAAGGTTTGTGCAGTGAAGGAACATAAGTTGGGCTTTTCTATTGAAAATCTTGATGGGATTAACTCTGCCTGGTTATATAGCGTTTCAGGCGGGTATGGTTAACATATGTACATGGTTTTCTCAGGCATATCTGGCGATGGACCTCGTGTCCATCTGGATCAGAGGGAACTGTTGGAGATTGTATTGACTCTTGAGCTTCATGTAAGGGGATTTGCTGCATTATGTTTCTCTCGTACCCACCAAATAAAAAAAAAAATCAAAAAGGGGAGAGAAAGGGGATTTGTTTAATTCTGATTCTAAATGTACTGATTGCGGGTTGTGTTCTTTGTGTGGGCGGGGGGGGGGGGGGGGGGTTTGGACGAATTGGATACATGTTCATTGTAAAGCATGAAAAAATTAGAGATACCTTGCTACAGGTTTCTTGCGAAGCTACAGGCCTCAATAACAAGTTTCAGTAATATTTTCTTGCCCACTTTTGTGGTTAGGTTGCTCTTGCCTCTTGGCATTCTTTCTTGATGCCAAAATTAAGGGGAAGTTTTAACAGCTGAAGCATCCTCTGTCCATCGTTGAAATGTGACATTCGGATGGGTTCCGGAGTTATCCCATCAAAGAATATAATCCACATGCCGTTATAAGAGTAATTAATCAATGCCTACAAATCTGTCAGCATCTTTTGCTTGACATTTACATTGGAGTTGTCTAACAAATGTCCGATAGACATTATTTAAGTTGTATTTCATTCATGTGTTAAATTTTTAAAAATAAAATTAATCTAAAAATGTATATAAATTCAACGGAGGGTAATAATTAATTATCATTGTGTGCGTGTACATGATAAGTTATGTGTATGTGTAATTGAAGTACGTTAACGAATTTCTATTGACCATCCTTTGCTTAAATTTGTTTATTTACTGAAATCTCGAGGCAAAGGAGTAATACAACATCTGATCTTCCTTAACTGCAGTACTTCACTCTATAGAATTTCGAACCCACATAGATAATTCAATTCCCAACTAGTATTTTCTTAAACAAGTTTTTGTATTCAGTAGTATGAAGAGACTCTGGCTAAGAGTGATTCTGAGAATCAGAACATAAGCTGTACTAAGGTGAACTGAGACCTGTTACATATGGAGTTAGGAATTTCTTATGCTTGCTTCGTGCACCTGTTCTCAACTCCTTGTACACGCTTATTTCTTTCTCTCCATCAATGGTGGTGCAGTATAACCCAAGAATATCCATCAATATAAACTTCAATTGTCAAAAAAAAACTCTGCAGACGGTACGTTATCGTTTGGATCCAAAATCTCTAATTTTCAATTTCTTACGACTAAAAGGTGATTAAAAGGTGACTTTGATTCAAGTTTGACAACAAATGACTTGACTTTAGTTTACAGACATTATATAAGACAAAGTGTTACGGCGTTATTTTAACAAAATTTCTAAATTGTTTTTTTCTATAGCAGTAATATTAGTCCAACTACATATTACTCGAAAAACAAAAATGGCGACAATTAATGACAATGTTAGACTTGGCACACTTGAAGATTATTGGAATAACTGTCATACAACATACAAACCACTGCAGGAAATTTTCAACACTATCATGCTGGATTGTATTCAAATAATTTTTGTTTGATTGTTTTTATGAGTTTCAATTGTAAAATTAAAATGAATAATAACTTAATGATGTGTTGATATTTTAGTACTTGATTATTTATTAAAATTTAACTATAATAAAATTTTATTAACCCAGCGGGAAAAATTTTATTAACCCCGCGGGGACGGGGCGGAGCGGGGGGAGTTTGTAGGTAGCGGGGCGGGGAATGGGGGAGGGGTCCCCCGCCCCAACCCCGGCCCGTTGCTATACCTAGATATATGTGACAGAAATTTTGGTATTAGCTTGTAAATTGTTTTGGCCTTTTTCTAATCAAATAAACTTGAGCTGAACATTCCTGCATGCATGATTGCCTTCTCCAGCTACGGTGTCACGATAGCAAACCAACCCCAAGCGGTGAGATTTACAACGGTATATACCACATCTTGGCTGTTGGAGGGCAAAATAATAGTCTAGAGAATTAATAGAGAAGGGGAAGAATTAAGAAAATCACCGGTTGTTCCCATGCGTTGTTCTGAAAAATGTTGGAATTTAAAACTCATGCATTGAGTCTCTATTCTGTCACTGATCGATCAAACTTCTTGATTAGTTGCAAGGGATCTTTTGAGCACTAAGAAATCAAGAATTACCAGCAATAATTGTACTAACCCTAAAATATTATTCGAATATCCATGACTTGGATTGGTAAGGATATTCTATCTTCTATTACACTTCTTGATACTACACAATATTTTTATAACATGTGAAAATAAGCCAGTGGCAGCGGGGTACTAAATGTGTCAGCAAATGGCATTTTCAGAGACTCGATCAGTCTATGATCGTCAACTTTCTTGTTCGACTGCACATAAAAGAATATGAAGGTGCGAAGATCTAATGAATCTTAGGATTATGACTTCGAATATATTGTAATGAGAATTGATTTTATTCCACCCCCTTAATAACGCTATTTGTTTGAACTAAAGTTGAGATTTCACGAGTTAGAAATTCTGAGTTCAAATTTCATTACGTGTGAAATTTTTTTTTATTACTATTTACGGGTTCATTTTTATCGTTACTGAATTGTAATTCCTATCATATTTGGATTAGATTTGTTAATTGCATTAGATCTACAAGGACAACCTCCTTGTAATTAATGTTGTAAAAAAAAAAAAAAAAAAAAAAAGAACTTAGGTCGACATAATCACATGACTGCAAAATTCAAGCAACATATATTATAGAGAATGCAAGTAAAAACGTGCATCATCATGTCAATTCTCAATTTTACACGAAATCAACTTCATATGTTTAACATTTATTGCACATCACATTATGGCGATTTTCTTGCTAAGAAGAACAAATCCCACAGCAATATACAGAACATAGAGTTCAAGAACAATACAACACACAGTCGCATTACAGAGAGGAAAGGTAGTCTGAGGAAATTCATAAAGATGGCAAATGATGATTCATCTTCTCGATGCTTTCCATTTGACTTCCAAAAACTGCTTCAATGCTTGGGTCTCCAGAAGAAGATTCCCGGGTCAGAGGAAAACCCTTCTGCCATTGAACCCACTGCAGCAGTACGAACATCCCCCTATTTTACTTGTTTTATTGTTCATAATGACCTTTTTTTTTTGGGTGAACCAATAGTTTAGTATTAGCAGTCACAGCTAACGATGGCCTGGGTAGCCATTAGGGATTTGAAGCAAACTGGGATTGCTTATAACTCTCTTTTGTTTTTTTTTTTTTTTGGTGAGTAATTTTCTATGGTTTCGAGGGAAGGGAAAGTATAAGGGGACACAAATCCCACCTTTAATCCAAGAATTGCAATGGTATTACTCTTTTTCCAGATTTCACCAGCTGAATAGAGGTTCCAGCTACTCACGTGTCAATAGGTAGAGTCTTAATTAAATGCTCTCCTCATGACTTAAACTGGTTGGTACCTGTTTGGCACACAAGCTTTTAGCTTGGTTTTTAATAGACAAGTTTTTTTTTTTTTTACTATTTTGTCTAAAGTAATCCTCTAAAAAAGCACAAATTTTGAAATATACATATCCCAAAATATCTAAAAACACACAATTTTTTCACTTTCTTTCCATCCTTTTCCTCCACCTCCCCCACCTCAATCCACTCCCAGCAGCCGGCGCTTTGCCGAGCTGGTAACCCGGAGAGTTTTACACGACCTAAAAGGTTGAGTTTGCCGGTGAATTCTATTTGGTAGAGACAAAAATGTTAAGTCTTTGAAACTCTTAACATATTTAGCATCACAATTTTTAAGATTTAGTTGTGGCACAAATAAGTATGTCACGATTAAGTGCTATCAAAGTTTTTATGATACTTTTGACAGTGTCGTGATTTTTTTCTATACGACTTACAATGACGCTTCGTTCTAGCGTCGGAATACCACCACTATAAATTATCTATGGCGCTTTTTCACAACCCTAAATACCCTAGTCTATTTTCTTGTAATGAGATGATTATAATGCTAAGAATAGCTCATATTCTAGGCTGGTCACTTTGAATCTGAATTTTGTTTCAACAGGAGATTACTCTGCGAGCTGCGCCTTCAAGACCTCCAATAAAGACGAAGCCTGGCCAGAGTCATTAGTAGAAAAATCTCCATCGATCTCACAGGATCGTCTCAGCCCTTATGCCTCTTGTTCCTGTTATAATACTCCCTCTACATTTCTACAAGACCAACCTTATTTCCATGGCCCTTGTTACTGTATTGTAAAATAACTGAACAATAAAGACCATGTCATGTACAGTTTTTTCTCTCAATAATGATAGTACTGATAATGAAAATTATTGACGAGTGTTAAATTATTGACAATGTAAGATTAATTTAGAAAAAGTGTATAAATGCACGAGAGGATAATAATTGTTAACGCTATATATATAGGTAAAATTTAGATGTGTTATCGGGTGTCCAGAAAAATTTGAATTTTAAATTGATGAGCCAGCATTTCCTTAGTTAGCCTCTCAACTCTCAAGTACTCCAATTTTTGCTTTCTGATTTTGAATATATATATATATATATATATTCTTCAATCATCCTACAAGAGAGAGATGGGATGCGTAAACAAAAAGGCTTAATAAATAAACTTAAAAATAAAAATCCAAACACAAACTCTCCATTTGCTGTTCTTCACTAGGCATAAAGATCAAAAGAGAAATTGGTTAAAACAGCAGAAGCAGAAGGGCTGCAATTATGCACTCTTTCCCAACAAATTAACAAATGACAAATTGTCCTTCCTGAATAGACAGCAGCCATAGATTAATTAGATTGCTGAGTTCTCAATAAACGTACTAGAGTTACCTAGTTTCTGGAGCCAAATTACAGTGAGATGTGAATATGGATTACAAATTGGTACAATTGACAAAGCTAATTCTACTTGGATTAATCCATCCACCGCCCAAAGACTGACTGCAATCTTTTCCTGCAAAAGAACCAAGTCTAGCTAAGAAAAGAGAAGCTCAATTCCTTATTTCAACATAAGCATAGGAAATGTCCAGTCATCTTTTTCTCTACTTCTAGTAAACTTCTCTACTAGTCCCCTCTGCATTATATCCCTTTACTTTCCATGGAACTTCTATCTATTAAATCAAGACAAAAATCTGACCA